CTGGAGGTTGGGTTGGATTAAATCAGTGTTTCTCAACCTCGGCAACTTTAAGCTGTGTGGACTTCAACTCCAGAACTCAACAACAGAATCTCAACTCAACGACAGAATCTTGCAAGTCTGATGGTGCTGTAGCTCCTCCTTAAACTCCAGTGCAATGTTTCTCAACCTTGGCAACTTTAAGCTGTGTGGACCTCAACTCCCAAAATCCCCCAGCAAGCCATGTTGGCTGGGGAATTCTGGGAGTTGAGGTCCACACAGCTTAAAGTTGCCAAGGTTGAGAAACATTGCACTGGAGTTTAAGGAGGAGCTACAGCACCATCAGACTTGCAAGATTCTGTCGTTGAGTTGAGATTCTGTTGTTGAGTTCTGGAGTTGAAGTCCACACAGCTTAAAGTTGCCGAGGTTGAGAAACACTGATTTAATCCAACCCAACCTCCAGCCAGTGCAGGAATCCACTTTTGTATGACCCCCGCCTGATGGCCATCCAGCCTTGGCTGAAGCTCCTCCAGCAAGGGAAAGTCATCATCAATGTGATTTCCAAGCATATCTCAGTCTCCAGATAGGTTCCATAAGCCTTGCTGGGAAATAAATTATCACCTGCAGTATCACCCTGTCCAGAAAAGGGAGGGAAAAGAAGTAGTAGCAGCATGGAGCAATAGGAGGGGGACTGGAGAAAGTGTAAGGGAACGTTCGAAAACATTGGTGCTTTTCAAGCGTGATGTTGGAGGAGACTCTTGAGAATACCATGGATAGCTAGGAACTTAAATAAATGGATCATAGAACAAATCAGCTCAGAGTTCTCACTCAAGGCACAAATGACCAGTCTCATAAGATTAGATTTTGGACACGTTCTGCAAAGGTCCAGCTCCCTGGAGAAGTCCATAATGTTGCTTAATTGAGTCCATTGACCTTGTTGCTGCTCTTCCTCTTGTTTGCAGAAATGTGATTACAGTGTGCGAAAGGGTTAGGTTCTTGTATTCTGCAAGATGCCAGCTAGAGATAAGAACTTTTCCTGGCTAGAAGGCAGGTAAAGAGGTGGGGAGGGTGGGCGGCTTGGAAGAGCATTGCATGGGGAACAAGGTGTAGTTAAACCAGGTTTAACTGTGACTTAGTATGTTCTCCAGTTTGGCATAAGGCAACTTCCTGATGGTTCAATTTTTTATAAGTTTAGTCTACCCCATTTTTTAAATGAAATAAATCTTCCACCTATGCAGAAGCACTGCAGGGTTTGGAAGATCACCCAACAACCAGCAGATACCCTGCTGAGGATTTCTCACTAAACTTCACTCTTCCTTGTCTCCACTTTACTGCACTGCTATAGGTGTATGACACTTTCCCCACGATTATGCATAAGCTTCGAAGGCCTTACCAGCAACTGTTTGAATACAATGAATTCATGCACAATCTCGTCAAGGACAGGGTCCAGAGTCACAAGGAGAGATGGAGAGAAGGTAACGAACCACAGGATTTCATTGACTTCTACCTGGATTTCATGTCCAAGGTAAGGAGAGGCTTTTGCGTAGCTTCCTTGCTCAGCTCAACCTTCCCACTTCCCAATGACTAGCCCTCTTGGCTAGGAATTAGATAGCCGGGGCCATGTGGTGAAGGGACAGGTCAAGAAGTCAAGATGGTGTTTGTGTCCACAGAGTTGTGGCCACCATCTTGACTTTTTGGACCCCTCCTCCAGACACCTTGTAAATAGCCAGTGCCCAAATGATGACTCACTGTCCAAGGTCAATATAGTGCAGTGTTTCTCAACTTCGGCCACTTGAAGATGTGTGGACTTCAACTCCCAGAATTCCCTAGCCAGCCATGCTGGCTGG